GGTTCTTTCATTTATGTACTCTCTGGCTCCCCTGCCCTGACTTCTGTCCTTACTTCTCTTCTCCTCTTCATGCCCCCAGTTTGGCTCCTTTTCTCTCCACTACTGCGCTCACAAACCCGTTTTATCTTCTGTTCTCACAACTCCGTGGTCCTTTGACCCCCCACGCTTGCCCGCTCTCTGCCAATCTTTTCCCAACAACCCTTTCCTCGCACCTCTCCACACCCCTGCGCACCGCGTCACACCGCTTGGCACACACCAGTACTTCCAGGGCACGATCAGCGAGCTGCTGATGGCGGTGGACGGGGCGCATGGCAAGTGCGTGGAGGAGATGACTCGCAAGCTCGGCGAGGCAGAGGCTGTTGTGCTGCGCGGCATGCAGGTCCGCTCCTCCGCCCTTCTCATGCTCGCCCTACTCTCGACTCCCTCCTCCGCCCCCTTCATCTCTCTTCCCCTCACTTGTTTTAAGTCGAACCAAAACACGCTCACCACTCCCGCCTCAGCCCACTTCATCGCTCTTCCCCTCAACCCCCGCCTAGCTCTCCCACTGGCCTCCTCGCCCTGTCCCCTCCTCATCCAGTTCCCTGCTCCCGCCCCACCTGCTCACCCCCGTGCTGCCCACCCTCTCTGCAAGGCTCGCCCACTACCCTCCGCTCACCAATGTCCTGCCCTTCCCACTCTTACCCCCTGCATGCGCGTCTCCTCTGCTCGCTGGCAGCAAGCCCCCACCCCCTTGTATTATGCCTTTCTGATGGCTCGGGCTTTCTCGCTCCCCGGGTTTGCTCACAACCCAGTGCACTGCGCATGTACAGCTGTCTTCCCCCTATCTCCTGCTCTCCCCACTTCGCTGTCCCTGGCCAGGTGTGCATTGACACGAGTGTGGGCGAGGTGGAGAGGCTGTTGGCTGCAGAGCAACTCGTCTAGCAAGTAAATGCAGTTTAGAGGGTTATAAATCCTTCCCCTGTGCTGCTCTCGCCCCCCCTGTGCTGCTCTCGCCCCCCCTGTGCTGCTCTTTCCTCTTCCCTGGGCAGGTGTGCATTGACACGAGTGTGGGCGAGGTGGAGAGGCTGCTGGCAGCGGAGCAGAAGCCCACGGAGTTCAGACCACCCGAGGACGGCACTCTCCCGGACCACCGCCCCACCACCGCCTGCATCAAGTGCGCTACCCACCTGCCCACCCATGCCTCATTATTCTGTTGATGGGGGTTTAGGTTGGAGGGGGTAGAGGAGGAGTGGGCTGGGCAGGGGTTGCATTGTGTGTTCACTCTGCGTGTGTGCCCTGCTCAACATTTGCATGCGTCACACAGTTTGTCCAGTCCTGTCTTGTCCTCTTTCCATCTGTCGTCCCCACTTGCTTCTCTTTGCTGCGCTGCGTCCATTTATGCCGTGCCAGTCTGTTCTGTACCGTTTCGCCTTTCGTACCGGTTCTCTCTCCCCTTTCCCATCTCGCCTCTCTTCCCTCCTTTCTAAACCCCTCCGTTCCCCTCACCTCTCCTCCCAACCACGCATCAGGGTCAAAGCATATCTCTGGACGCGGCACAGTGAGCACTGGAGGGGACTTCTGAGTCGGCTCAAAAGTCTCCCCATCCCTTCCCCCCCTCCTCTCCTCCGAACCACCAATCCGTGGGGCGGGCATCAGGGTGAAGGCGTATCTGGAGCGCATAGTGGATGCGGCACAGACAGCACTGGAGGGCCCCAACCGCCACGCCTTCCTGCTCGAGCTGGTGCGTGCCATCTTCGGGGCGGGCCCTGTATGTGCTGTGACGGTGTGGGTTGGAGCAGCAGGAAGTGAACAGCTGCTGCACTTTTCAAAGACCCGTTTCTTTCTGGTTCGTTTAGCTGCGTGCTGCACTCTTCGCCTCACTCCTCTTTGTCCCTCTGTACCCGACGTCACCCCTCTGCACCACCACCATCCACCCATGCAGGGAGTGCGGCTGCACAAGGCTCTGCTGGCGCACATCCAGCGCTTCTCCTTCAACCCCGGGTCAGTAACACTCCGCACATTCTCTCCATTCACCGCTTCCTACCGATTTCACACACTTGCTCTTCAATCTCGCATCCTTCTTTGCTCCATTCATCTTCTTATTTCCCATCTCACCATCCCTTATTTCAACCGCCTCCACAATACAAGCTGTAGATCTCGGCCCATTCCCTTCTCAATCCCTCCCTTGTGTTCTCAATCCCACCACCCTCCGTCTACCTGTGGTCCTCTGCATCTCCCCTGCGCTGCTGGGCTGTTGCGTGCTCCGCTGTGCTGCACTGCTGTGTGGAATGGTTTGCCCGTTTCCTGCCTGCCTGCCTGCTTGTCTGCCTGCCTGCTCGTCTGTGTGTGTGCAGGGGTGGGCTGCGGCTGAAGAGGGATGTGTCGGAGTATGCAGACTCCATCCGCGCCTTCAAGACTCCCACTGTCGACGAGCTCTTTGAGTCGCTCAGCTCGTATGTCACCTCACCTCACCTCGCTGCACCTCACCCCACCTCGCCTCACCTCTCCTCACTTCACCTCACCTCTACTCACCTCACCTCCTTCATGCAAATTTCACTGTTCCACGTGTTTGCCGCCCTCCATCTTGCACCCACCCTCCTTTTCTTGTCCGGCCGACTGACTCCTCATGTACTCTCATCTCCTCTGCTCGTAGCCCAGAAGGTTATTCATGCAGACATTCGCTTGATATCTTCTATTCTCCCTCCCCATACTGCTTTCCCCCCTTCCTCCTCCCTTCCATGCACTCTGTCTTTCCTCCGCTTCACCCACCTCTGTTGCGTCCGTTCCTCCTCTATTCCCCTTCTGTTCCGCCTCTGTCCTCTCTCTGTCCGTGCATGTGACCACAGGTTGGTGAATCTGTTCATAGTGGCGCCGGACAGTCTGCGCACGCTCGTGGACAGCAGCCATCTCTCGCACAAGGATGCTCTCATGTATGCCCTGCCTTGCCCTGCCGTCCCCTGCCACTGCTGCCCCTCACTCACTCACTCACTCACTCACTCACTCACTCCCTCGCTCACTCCCAATGCAACCAGCCTTCAACATGGCATTTTTTTTCCCACTTTTTGTCTTGCTGTAAGACCTCTTTGGCAATGTTTCAGCCGGCCATTCCCCCCCCTTCACCCCACCTTAGCCCTGTCTTCCCCCCTTCAGACTATTTCATAAGCACGTGCCTTTCATCGCAATCACATGTTGCTCCTATCTGATGCCATCGTGTTACATCTGCCCTGTGAGCAGTTACATTCAACTGCGTGATGATTATAAGTCCGCTCGCATCGCTCAACAGTTCGCCCGATAGCGACCATCATGCACCCGGTTCTCACCAACCCGTTTGGGCACTGATCCATGGTTGTCATAGCGAGCAGCACTCGTCTGCGCCCGTCTTTGGCGTGTTTCAAGATGCTTTTCTGTTTATCGCACCCACTGCTGCTGGAGCTGGCTGCCATTGCGTTCAGCCATAAGACATTTAGCAGCAAAGGAAGCAACGAAGTGGAGCTCTCAGGTGTCGCTTCTGTATGCTTCTTGAGCTGTTGTGGAGGTGGAGAGCAGCATGTGCTTTGCAAGTGTAGATAAGTAGCTTGAGAATGTCTTATGTACTATCACAGAATGGCATGTGGGAGAATTATTGTGTAGGCACTGTACCTGTCATGAGACCTGTTATTTGAGAAATCCAATTCCGTAACCTGTGTAGCCTTGTAGCTGCCCCGAAGTTCGTCAAAATCGAAGGAGCGGTTCGTTCCCCCATCGCACACGAGAGGTTGGAGAACCGCATGCAGGCGCACAGCCGTGCGATGCGACATGCATGTGTGCGATGATCGGTTGGGGATCTGCGTTGATCTTCGCCTCAGCCAATAACATCGCACGGCTCCCCGAATTCCCAACACTAGCCAGCAACTCACCTCACCATCGCTGCAATCCACCACATCACACTAAACTGTAAAAAACCACATCAAACCGCACCACGCACATGGCTGGGCTTCATCGTTTGCTCGCTTGTGCTTTCAGGTTTGTCGTGGCAGTAAGGGCGCATTTCAGGCCTCGTAACAAGTGACTTTCGAACACACCCAAACTTGTGAAGAAGTCGCTTTTGCACCTCCGAACAAACAAGTCTGTCCACTGACGACATGAGTCGCACATGTTGGTGGGTCGCAGCCAGTAGGGTGGCGTCAAATTTCACTCTATGCTACGACCTGCCACTTCCAGAATTTGACGGCCGAACCAACCGTACTCCATTGGCGCTGCCCTAAAATTTTCATTTTTGGTGGATCTCCCACATAGAGATCCCAAACCTTCCTAGATTGCATTGAAATGTGCCCACTCGACTCTACCCTGAAATTCTCCAAGGCAGCACTGATTATTGAGAATGACGGGAGGTGGTCGTCAGGTGGCACGTAGACGGCGCGCGACCATTGACACTTGATCGCAAACGGTTGAAATGCCTCCAGTGGTTAGACTAAATTTGTTACGAGGTTCAGGTCGCAGAGATTCGGCCAACGTCGCGTAAAATCGGAAGGCAGTCGCTTGTTACGAAGACGCTTGTTCGTATCCACCTGAAATGCGCCCTAATTCGCACTGAACACCTTTCTTTTCTATCCAAGCCAGTTCAGGAACTTCAGGCTCCCTGTCCTGTCCCTGCCGTCTGGGATTACATTCTGTGCTTCTGAATTCCCTACGCGCAATTTTTAGTCTCCTCTGGCGTCGGTTTCTCCGTTCTTCGGGTCGTGTTGACGCGCCAGACTTCTCCGTGCTCCGTCTCCAGAGTATTCTTGCCATTTCTGTGGAGTAGACCAGCGGTGTTTGTGAAAGAGCGTTCACATTCGATCTCGATCATAGTGTATGTCACTCCAGCATCCAGGGGTCTAGTACAGCTGTCAAGAATTCTGAGCTGTGAAGTAGTTCTGTCGCAGAGAAGCAGCGGTTTTGTCGCGCAGAAGCTCTCGTGGTTCACGTTTGTTGTCTTGGCTTTACTCGCCGAATTCGGGTTGAGAGCAGGAGATTCGGCTGGTCTTTCCAGCAGTGCCATGATGTTTTTCGGTGCTCGAACCAATCGTAGAAGAAGCAATCGCGGTGGTAGATCAGGTGCTACCAATCCCGGTGCTACCAATCCCAGTGCTGCTAATTCCACTGCCACTAATCCTAGTGATCCAAATTCCAGTGCTACTAACAGAGCGACCCCCAGTGCGACTCCTGGTGCGAATCCCACTGCGACTCCCACTGCGACTCCCAGTGCGACTCCCAGCGCGACTGGTCCCAGCGTTACTACAGGTCCAGCACCTACGACGACTCTCAGCACGGCGAGTCCGAGTGCTGCGACGGCAGTAGATCCCATGATGAATCCCGATCCTGCCATGGATCCCACTGCCAGCACGACACGTCAGCCCGCCAGCCATGAATCTTCGTCACCCTCCGTCAAATCGGCTGATACCAAAGCGACTGGCACCAAAGGAGACCCCCAGCGGAGTTCCCAAGGGATCATTCCACGGGGTTCGCAAGTTGCTGCCCCTCGAGGCACCGCAGGGCAGGCCACCACTACCCCGCGGAGCACCGCAGCCCAGGCTACCTCCACCCCCGACGTGCTATCCATGCTGGAGTCCCTGTGGGAGCAGCCCGCTTCCAGTTCAGACACGGGCTCTCTCCGATCCGCTTCCTCGCCTCCCTCCCCTTCCGCCTCTGCTGCAACCTCTGCTTCAGCCCGCGCTTCCGCCTCCGCGTCTGGCTCCCCGCGTGCTAGCAGCAGCGGGCCTTCCTCGTTGATTGCTCCGCTTACAGGCGGAAGCGAGTTGGGGGAAGGGGCGGAGTTGGGCGGAGGGGAAGAGGGGAAACCGGAGGAGGGGGCGGAGGTGGAGGATACGACACCGATAGAGCCGCGCGGTGCATCCCCTGATACCACTGTTGCTGCCGTGCCTGCTGCCGTGCCTGCTGCCGTGCCTGCTGCCGTGCCTGCTGCCGTGCCTGTTGCTGTTCCTGCTGCTGTTCCTGCTGCCGTGCCTGCTGCTGTTCCTGCTGCTTCATCTGCTGCCGCTGCTGGCATGGACGATGGTAGCGCCAGCAGCAGCAACCTTGAAGAGGGTTCGACAGCAGCACGGAGCGGCATGCTGCCAATGACCGTGGCCCCAGAAGCACGACCACCGCCGAGCATGCGTCTTCCCTTCGCATCCCCCACTTGGCCCCTGCTCCATCGCGCCGCCACCTCCGCCTTCCACGCCCTCCGCAGCGCCCTTCTTCCTCTGCTGCCGCTGCTGCTGCCCCTGTCCCGCGCACCCAGCCCGCCAGACGGAGAGAAGGCGCAGCAGGCGGGGAGGCATGTGCGTGGCGAGGCACTGGAACGGGCAGGAGCAGGGGAGGAGAAGGAAGAGGGGGAGAAGCAGGTCGAGGAGCAGCAGCAGGCATGGCGATGGTTCGGGATACTATCATGGGCGTCAGCGTGGCTAGAGGGGTGGCAGAGCGGGTCTCAGTGGCCGTTATCCAGTCCCTTCGGCCCCATCTGGGCTGTTGGCTCTGTTGCACTGGTCGCGCTGTTGCTGCCCCTTTTGCTGCTGCTGGTTGCTCCCGTGCTCTTGTGCTGGATTGCTGTAGCAGGTACGGGTGTCAGAGCCTGCTGCACAGCCTCTCGCTCCCGTCCCCCCTTCACAAGCGCCTTCTCTTCGCGCTGTATTCCCTCATTCCTTCTGTGTTTCTTCTCCCTCACTCTTTCTGTGTTTCTTTCTCACCTTTTCTTCTCTTTTTGCTTGAATCCGCTCTTCTCTTCTCCCTCCTCTCCTCTGCCTATTCCATTCCACCCTATCTCAACCCAATTTTACCCGTTTCAACCCCCCATCTGCAGCGTTTCTCTCCGCTCTCGCGTCTCTCGCCCTGCCACCTATCCGCATAACGTCTACCCGTGTGAAGCTGCCAGATGGCCGCCACGTGGCGGTGTGTGAGTGGGGCGCGGCTGCCAGCGATGCACGTGTGACCATTGTTGTGCTGCATGGCACGCCTAGCTGCAGGCTCGTGGGCATTCCCATGATCAAGTATGGCCTCGTGGTCGCCTTCGATTGGATTGCCTGTCCACGTGGTGATTGCCACGTTGTGATTGAATATCGAAACTTGTTATGGCACATGCACTCGGTATATCTGTTCACATGGAACCTCCCCAAACTTTCTCTGCCACCTTCCACCCTCCTCCCCCTCCCCCATCCCCCATCCCCCCACCAGCCCCTCTCTCCTCCTCGCCCGCAAAATCCGCATAGTCTCCTTCGATCGCCCTGGAATCGGCCAGTCAGACTACCACCCGGGATGGACCCTCCACTCCTCTGCCTCCGATCTTCTCTACCTCGCGCCTCTCCTCTCCCTACCGCCCAAGTTCTGGGTTCTCGGATACTCTGGAGGAGGCCCCCATGCCCTCGCAGCTGCTAGGTTCCTGCCTGATCGCCTGGCGGGGGTGGTGCTGTGGGCTGGCGATGTGAATCCGTGGGATCTGGTGGCGGCCATGGTTGGGGGAGGGGGGATGCGGGCGAAGCGGGGAGTGGCGGCAGGGGAGGGCAGGGGGGAGAGTGGTGGGGAGCGAGAGCAGAGGAGAGGTTTCAGGGAGTGGGGTGCGGCAGAGGAGAGCAAGGAAACGAAGGAGAGCAGTGGGAGCAGTGGGAGCAAGGAGAGATCAGAACCATCGTCCATGCTCTCCAAGCTCCACAAGCAGTGGTCCGCATGCCAGCATGCAGCTCTCTTCGCCCTCTCTCTCTGGGCCGCCCTGCCTTTCCCTGCGCGCCTGCGCTTCGAGTGCCTTCGCTGGATCCCCCCCAGTGTCGTCCCCCTCCTCTGCCCGCTGCTCTTCCCGCCGTCCCTCGTTCGCGTGCTTGCGCCTGTGGTGCTGTCGGAAACGGCTATTCATCGTGCGCTCATGTCGTATGTGCAGTGGGCGGATGCACAGGCGATTTCCCATCCCCACACCCTCCACAGGCTCGCAGGTGCGGCTCTCCTTCGTTTCTGTTCTCTTTTTTTTCCGTACGACTCCTCTTCTACCCTTGTTCAAATATTTGTCTCTCTTTCATTCTTTCTCTTCATCCTCCCTCATTTCATCCGATTATCCATTCGCACATGACCCCCAACGTTCTCTCCATTCTCTCTCCCCCCCCTCCCTTTCCTCTGCCCTGCCCCCTCTCTTCCTCCTCAATTCCACGCTCAGCCACCTGTCAGGAAGCCCTGTACCAGGGGAACGTGCAGGCAGTGCTGGAGGACCTGCTGCTGCCCGCACAGCCCTGGGGATTCTCCCTCACGGATCTCAAGCACTTCGACTTCCCCATCCACGTTTGGCAGGTTGCTTCCTCTGCTCTGTTCCTCCTCTTTCCCTTTCTCCGCTCTGCTGCTGCTGTCCCTCATCCTAATCCCCCTGATTTCCGATCTCATTGATTTGAAACTTCTACAGTGGTTGTTGTGCTCGCTTCCCTCCTCCACAATCCTGCACCTACCGTCAACCCCTCCCCCCCAATCGTCTGCCTTCCACCATCGGCTCTAACCTCCCACCCGCCAGTCTCACCACACCCCGCTCTGCACCACCCACCCACCCCACTCGTGGCACAGGGCACGGAGGACCAAGATGTGCCAGTGCTGCTATCAGACCTGCTGGCGCACCTGCTGCCGTGTGTGTCGCTGCACCTGTTGCACGGCCACGGCCACTACTCGCCCTTCACTCACCCTGACTTCCACCGCTTCGTCCTTGATACGCTCTCACCTGCTGCTGTGCCTGCTGCTGCTGTTGCTGGAGATTCCTAGAATTGTCAAGCTGTGGAAATTTACCTGTAAATATTCTGTACAGTCTGCAAGTTGGTGTGTAACTTTCCTGAGAAATATGTGTAGCTGTACACTTCAAGAAAGTATTGTGTTGTAAATAGTGTTCAGCACAGCTAAGTTGCTCACAAGTGTAGCATGGCAGGGTGCATATTACCTCGGCAATCAAATGTGCAGATATAAAGAGGATATGGCAAGGAAGATGATTTGCTCAAACATTTGGTCCACAAATGTACAAAAGCATGCGACAGTGCAAACAAATAGGGCATCCAACCAGAGAGAGAAAGGCAACTTCTAAGCTACTACCTTCCCCAGGAGGTCACAACTGCACAAATCGATGCACGTGCCTGGAGGACAAGCAACCACCGAGGCTAGTGCTCGCAAGCACCAAGAAGCTTTACACGCGAACAAAGGAGCACGCACGCACCCATGCAACTAAAGCAGGTAAATTATAGACCAGTCAAAATGGACTGAGCTTGTTGATTGACGCTCAATTGCTCCGCAGCGAAACGCACGCATGGTGCCATGTCATGCCATGCTCCATGGGCTTGTCGCTGAGAGGGCGTGGGTGTAACTGTATCACTCGCATAAGGACCGCAGTGCATGTGCGTTTAGTTCCCGCCCGTTGGCCCCATGCCCTTGCCCTCCGCCATTCGCTTCATCATCAGTGCAGCCCGCACCACATTGCCACGTGTCAACAGCCCAATCTAGAAAAAGGCACGAGCAGAGGAGGTGGGCGGTCGTGGGGGGAGGAGGGGAGTGGGGGAAGGGGGGAGAGGATTGCGGGATGAGAGAGGGGTTGAATTTGGAAGGGGAGGAAAGATCACAAGGATCATAGGCGGGAAGAACAGCAGGTGCTGCAAACCATGCTGTCTTGCAATGAAGGGCAAAGGCACGAGCTGGCTGGTTCACATATGGACGGGATTGAGGCGGGAGGAGGGGGGAAAGCGGGAACGTTCTATGCATGGTCCACAAAGCAGGAATACTGGGGGGAGCGGAGAGATGGATGGGTTGGAAATGAAAAGAAATGACTAATCTGGAGAGAAGCAGGGAGCGGTGTATGCATGGAAAGTGACTGACCAGAATGCCGTTCTCATCCACGATTGGCAGGCGATGGAACTTGGACTCTATCAACACTCTGCATGAGCTCCCATTCATGCACACACATGCCATATACACACATGCCATATACGCACATGCCATGCATGCAGAGCTCATGCATGCGTCCACACAGAGAGACACAACACAGGCACACACACAGACGGACACACACGCACACAGACACGCACACACACAGAGCGAGGAGGGAGTGAGGAAGAGAGGCATGGCAGTGCAAAATGAGACGTGGAGAGGGTGGGAGGGGAGTGCGTGAATGGAGGAAGGACCGTGTGCAGCTGCTCGGTCGCACATCATGTCCGTCCATCTCACGCCCCACGATCAACACTCATTCTCATTCATATGGCAAGCCTGCTTCCTTGGTGAATCTCCCGGTCCCCAGTAATCCTCGTTGTTACTATCCACCTCCTCCTGGCCCTTTGCACCAGGCAGAATCCGTTATGTTTTGCGAGGACAGTAGGTTTGCTTGCCTTATTACTTTGCCCTCTTCCCAGTCACCCTCCCTCCCCTCCCTCCACCCTTCCACACCCTCCTCCCTCACCCTCCCGCACCATGCCTCACCCTCCCTCGCCCTCCCTCCTGCGCCCTTCCCCCTTTCCCCTTCCCCTTCCCCCCTCGCTCACCGCGCGGCGTCTTCGATGTTGGTCATGGCGCGCGCGCAGAGCGGGTTGGGGGTCATCACGTCCCCCACGGTGGCCCCCGCGTTCTTCGCCAGCAGCAGCTGGATCTCCTTGAACGCCTGCCTCCCATCCACCGCGCGCGCGCATGTGGTTCGGGTGGGGTGGGGTGGGGTGGGGTGGGGTGGGGAGGGGCGATACACACGGTGATGGGAAGAAGCGAGGAGATGAGCCAGGAACGGGAACGAAGGAAACAGATGGCTACGAAATGGAACGGCGCGAGGAGATGGATGTACCGCGGGGGGGGGGAGCAGGAACGACGAGAAGCGCACATGCTGTTCTACGCATCACAAAGCAGCAGCGAGTATAAGCACCTCTTGGGGCTCATAGCTCATCCCAACCCCTCTTTCCCACTCCTTCCATCTATCCAACCTTTCATCCACTCCCCTTCCCTTCCCCACCCTGCCACCCTATCCTCGCTATCCCTGTGCCACCACGCACCTTCCACGTGCTGCCGGCCTGTGGGAATATGCCGTCGCGCTCCTTGCGCTTGCCTGGCAGGGGGAGGCGGGGAGGGAGAGGGGGGAGGGGGGAGGTGGGAGGGAGAGGGGGGAGAAGGGACGGGGATGGGGGAAGAGGGGGGGGATTAGCCCAGGAAATCGCCTCGTTGTGCCAGGGACATAACCCAGTCCGGATAGGGAAGCGAACAGAGTGAGGAGCACGAGCGGCATTCGAGTAGAACGAACGAGGAAGGCGACAAAGCAGACGGGCGGCGAGGAGGTGAGCAGGTGAGAGGTGAGGAGATGAGGTGGGTGAAGAGGTGAGGAGGGCGAGATGGTCGGAGAGCGCACCTGAGATGGAGTCGAGGGCGAGTAGGTCGTAGTCCGATACCACGCCCACCTGCACCATCAGTCACCCATGGCCGGTTCCGACAGGACACAACGGCACCACGGCACCAATGGACGACGGGAGAACGGGAGAACGGGACGACAGAGGGGTGCAGAGGGAAGGCGGATGCTTTGAATTTAATTCGGGCGACGGGGAAAAATAGAAACGGAACGCAAGACTAGGCGAACGACAGAGCGACGAGAGCGAAGAGAGCGACGCGAGCGACGGGATCTAGAAAAGCGCGGAGGAGACGGGCGAGAGCAGGAGAGGTGCGGCGAGGTGAAGCGAGTTGATTTGAGGCGCGGGTGGGTGTGTGCTCACGACGCGGTTGTCGTCGTCGACCACAGGCATGCCCGAGATGCGATACGTCACTAGTTTCTCCAGCGCTGCGCGGCGCGGGGAGAACGCGGGACGAAGGGGAGAGAGGGCGGAGTGGAAAGAAACGGAAAGGGGGAGGCATGGGAAGGGGAAGGTGGGGGTGAGGGAGGAGGGGAGGGGAGGGAGGAGGAAGTGGGTTAGGTTGGTAGAGTGAGTATCGGTATGTATCGGTATCATTACACAACATTCCGGAAAGGGCATCAGAAATAATCACACACGCCCGAAGAAAACGACAACGACACGGCGTCGTCGCCACTCGAAGAAGCTCAGGTCGACAAAGGAGACTACTCTCCCTGGTACCGTTGCCGCGCGAAGACGGCTGACGAGAAAAGGAAAAGCAGTCAGGCGTACCCTCATCCACGGTGGTGGTGACTTTGACGACCTTCACGTCGCCCTTGGTCATGCAATCGCCCACAGTGAGGTGCTCGCGATGAGACACCTGCGCGCGACGACACGGGGGGAGAGACAGGGAGAGGGAGGCGTAAGGGAAGTGAAAAATGCACGGTGCCGCTGGCTGGACGTAAGGGAAGAACCGCTAGGCCGAACGAGAGAGCAAACGCAGTGCTTTAACATTGTAAAGAGACCAACCTTTTCGAATGTGGGGTCCTTCTTGTCCTTTTCAGGCGGACTCTGCACCGCTCCTGCCTCCGCCCGAATGACCGGAACGGGCCGCCGAGCTACTCTGCTCCTCCCCAACCCATTTTCACACCAAGCCTCGCTGGATAACGCGGGAAGCGAGAAGAGTCTGGGAGCGGAGACTTGGTGTTTGAAACGGCATCTGTTGACGGCGACTGGTACTGATGCTGGCAGGTGATGCGTCAAGTGAACCTGACTCGCTTGCGCCGCCATGATACGAGACAAAGAATAGGGCAGTAGATGTACTAATGGATCGTATGCGATTGCGCTGGAACGGCGGACGGGAGAATTATAGCAGCTTGGCCTGGAAGATCGTTTTCAAATGTTGCGAGTTATGTGGGACAAGCACTCCCTTTATCAAGCAAATGAATCTGCGGAGCGTGTGACAAGTCGAAAAGGAAAAAGCGAGCGGGGGAGGATAGGCAGCGGTGGAAGGTCAGTCGGAGAAACCCAAGGTGGACCTGAAATTCGAGGGGAGGGGCGTGACTGGTTGCGAGTAGGGTAACCCCATACGTGTCAGTTCGTTCACACGCAGGTACAGGCTCTACGTGTTGGAAAAGGACCTCCCTGGCCCTTGGGATTGGTTGTTCTGGAATCTGGACTTGTGTACAGACGTTTCATTGGCTGGTTTTGCGGGTGCGTGTAGACGGACGTGAGCGATGATGTTTGAGCTGACGTGTCCAGAACGATGCACGCGGCACGGGCAACAAAAAGATCGTGTATTATTTCAATCTGCGGACAACATTTTACTACAGTAGAACAGAGCTGTCCTCTTCACCCAAAATGCTGCCTTTCTCCAGATATTCGGTTGTTTGTTTTGAGAAAGGCCAATCTGGGCCGTGGACCGAATGCACTCTTGTTTTCAAGATGCCAGCGCATCCGACAAGCCAGGAACATGAGAGCCAACGCAGCATAAATGATGTCAGCAGATCAAGATTTGACGAGGGACGAAGTGTACACGAAAGTATGGTCAGCGGTATGAATGAAAGGGAGAATGGCACAGCAACATTAAGACTAACAAACATCAGATGCAATAAAAACTTATTAAATGCCACTCTCGCCCTACAGCACAGAATCGTATGTACACATATCACACTCACCTTTCTTCATACAAGATTCGCCTCTGTCCTAGAGTTATCACACAGTAAAAGCTGACAGACATAAAAACACTAATGTCCCCACAAAGAACGTTACAGTGTTGTGAGTCTGAGTTGGATGGGAGCGAAAGTGTTGTGTTGATGAATTCTTATTTAATATCATCAAGGTCTGAACCTACCTGTTGAAAAAACAACAGAAAAGGGTTCAAGGATGCATGTCAGGAACAATGATGGATGCTGGACACTGAATGAGAGATACATGAAGCTGAAACAGGATACTGATGCTAGGTGCACAGGTGAGACAACCTCAGTGGCAACAAGTGGCTGGTAAAAATCAAGGCAGAACAGCAGACATTGTACGAGGATAGATGTGGAAAGCAAATGAGATTGGAGACTGACCGCTGACTTGACAAGCTCATCAAAGTCCTCTGCATCAAAAGCTCCATCATCTTCATCATCATCCCCTGCCATAAGAATTTAGACAAGGAATGCGTGAAAAACTCTTCAGCAGATAAGTGCACTTGTTACAGATGCAATCAGTAACCAAACAGGCACACGCAACTGCCAAACGAGCCACAACGCAGCAGCGTTCCATGGCCATTCGTACTGTTGTGCAAAACTCCATACCTGCATCATCCCCTCCAAGTGCATCCATGAGAAGAGCATCAATATCGTCCCCTTCTGTCTTTTTGTCGTCACCATCTTCAGATGTTGCCGCCACTGCTACTGCCGCCGCAGCAGCTACTCCTGCTGCAGCAACAGTTGCTGAGGAACCAGTGGACTTGCCAACACTTGTATTGGAATCAGAAGCGAGAGTCTTGGCAGCTGGAGGGGTGGTTGCAATGGCCGCTGCTTGTGCAGCCCGTTCCTTCAAAGCTGCCATCCCTGCTGCCAGCTCTTGTTGTCTTTCGGACCATCGCACCTCATACCTGATCGACACAATGCGCATGCTTCCAGAACGACATTACTACACCAACGACTTGGACAAACAGTTGGAAAAGTCTGAGTTGAAGGAAGTACGTGAGGAGGGAATAAAAAAACAGAAATAAACTCACGGCATAACGTGTGTGTGCACCAGCATAAAGTAGATCTTCCAGAACCGATGCTCTGGCATAACCCGAGGGCATAATTGATACCGAAACGTGGAAATCTCCTGCATCCAGCACGTGCCACAAGCGGAAAACAGCTTACATAAGCATACAGTAAAAATCGGACAGAGACATTCGACTTTGCAGGGCTGCTAATAGTACATGTGAACGCAGGAAATAAAGCGGGAAAAGGACATGTAGGAAACATGCGCACCTTCACGCTTTCCAAGACCAGCATGGCATGGCGAGTCTGAAATGCGTTGAGATCATGTCTGACGTTGTCGGGACCAACCTCCACCTCGTCGGTCTTTAAAGCATTCTCTGCCGCGGTAGTTGCCACCGCTCCCACACCCTCTTCAGCAGTTGCAGCTTCCTTCAGCTCTGCTCATGCTCATACCGGTACGGAGTGAACAGGGAATCCCGAGGGGAGAGCAGAGGGAAAGACGGTAAGGTTCCAGCGACGAATAGCATCCACGCGCAGTCCGATTGTCAAAGTCAAGTGAACTTACGCTTGATCTCGTCATCGACAGGAAATTCCTTGAAAGTGTCAAGGGTCATTCCACGAACGAATTCGCGCAGATCTTCAGTCACTCCATAGTCTTCCAGCTCTTTGTCAAGTGGCAATGCCTGGTGTCCTGAACCCCCTACTTTCAACTCCTTTACCAGACTTTGAATCCCTTCCCCAGCGCTCTGCGCCGTCTGCTGCGCTAACGCGGGGAGCTTTTCCGCAGCTTCTTTCGCGAGCTCTTGTGCCTTCTTGCCAGCCTCTTGTGCGAACGACTTGGAGCGAGAGGCAATATCCTGGATGGTGGCATTCTTCGACAGCTGCTCACTGTACTTGGCAGTTTCTGTCGCGAGCTGGGAGGATACTTTTGTAGTCTCTTTGACAATATCCTGCGACAGCTTGACAGTGATTTCTTGAGTCTTCTTCGCCGCCTCTTCGGCGACCGATCGCGCGCGAGCGAAGAACGCTTCCATCGTGTCCGATGATGCAGAGAAGATCGGCAACAAGATCGACAGCGAAATTAAAACAGCGCAGCTTCTGTCGGAGCAAAGATCGCTCCAAGGTTCTAACGAATGACGTCCATCAGCACATAAGACACATACAGGCGAGTGATACAAAGCAGCGAACAAAGAGGTGGCTTGAAACAAACTCAAGAAGCAAATGGAGAATGTCGTCGCCTGAGGACCAACCCTTAGGTTGTAGTGGCAAGGCAAAGATCTGTCAGTGACTAACTAGTCCGGACTCGTAGACACTAAAGGTGAGTGGGTGGGTGTGTGGGGTGGTGGTAGGGTGACTGAATCCAATCGGGTTACTCCCGCTAGGTGAAGCAAGGCGTGCCCCTCGTTCGTCAGCGGGCTGACACAACATAGTTGGTTCGGTGGGAGGTAGAAAATGGGGTGTGCGAAGCTATGCGAATTCGATCGTGAACGAATCGCAGAACGCAAATGGTTCTGTCTGTCACCCAGCCAATCCCGACATGGAGATATCTCGCGCTGACAATTGTCAGGTCTGCGAACATCCCTGCGACTGACAATCGAGTGGTGTCAGAAACGTGAAATTCCCTGATATCCTCTATTGTGTATACATGATAATACTGTACTTCCAACCACGGGAAAGTGCCGATGTTTCGAATGTTCTGCATCAGTACAGTCACAGAGACCTTTCGTTACAATAGCATCTCTGTGGCAGGCTGACTCCCTTATCCACTTGGGATCTTCCATTTCCCAGACGAACTGTCTGACTTTCTCGCTCGCAGCAGCACCACCACCAAGCAACTGCACTCCGCATACAATACAACGCATCACTTGGCAAACTGGCCTAAATAGTACGCTGGTCAGGTCAGAGACCACTAACCATCCACACGGAAAGCAGTTCTTCCGGTGGCCAAGGGGCTTTTGGAGTGTAGCCTGACTATTGTGAAGGATACTCTAGCCTGGTCCCTGCATTATTGAAAGGCGCTCACGCATTTTGCAGTAGCTCTTTCGTTCCTGTTTACAAAAGCAGGCAGCCATGGCTTCCACTGTATCCGTCGCTGCTTCTCAGCATACAGCTCTAATCAACCGTCGCCTCTCGTCCTTATCACACAGCCGGCGCCTCCTGCAATCGCAGCCGTCCGTCCCGTTCCTACCTTCGCGATCACGAGCCTCTGTCATCGCTCCACCTTCCGCCATCGCCGCTCCTCGCGCGTCGCTCGCCGCAGTCCCACCACCCCATCCTCGCGTCAGCCTTTTCAGCAAGACCTCCGCGTCCCCGTTACTGCCGTCTCGTGAACCTCTCCCCTCGCGCCGGCCCGCAGATTCCGTTAGAGCCTCGGCGGCAGCAGGCGCGGCGGCGTTCGGCGATGGCGCGAGGGCCTTCGACGACACACTGCCGTTTCCTCCTCCCACACGTCAGTATCCCGCCTTTGCCAATGCCAATGCCAGTGCCAGTGCCGTCCCCGGGTACGGTTTCGGCTTTTTGTCATCGCCTCGTTATTGTCATGGTCCATTATTCTCTTGACGAACAAACGCCGGAAAGAAGTCCGTCTCTCTTCCTGGTCCATTATTCTCTTGATGAACACTTCCGCTGTCAGCCGTGCATTGCCCCGAGGCTGGGCTGGGAAAAAGGCGACACGCGCCTTGAAGCTTGGACGACCAAAGAAAAAAGAAACAGAACCGTTCTTCGTCTTTCCAACATCAAACGTGTGTACCGGGCAGCATTTCTCAGCGTAACACGGAAACGAGCAGCATTCTCTCACCGTTCTCCGTCTTCCCTTCTTCCCGTTTCTTCTCCCCGCCCGTGCAGAGACGAGCGTGCTGAACAGGTTCCGCGCCATATTGTTCTACCTGGTGACGCTGATCATCGCGACGCCGCTGTTCGTGATCATGCTGGTGCTGCAGCCGTTCGTGCTGCTGCTCGACCGCACGAAGCGCCGCGCGCAGCACCTCATCAACAACGTCTGGGCCAACACCACCACTGCCGTCTTCTACCCGTGAGGCTGGGAGGACGGTGCGGTGCGGACAAGGAAGAGAAAGGGGGTGAAGGATAACGGGGGAGAAGGGGGTGAGCAGAAGAGGGCGAAGGAAGGGGGAGATGGGGTTGATTTGGGAGGAAATTTTTTACGCGTCTCAGGTGTTCCTTGTTCACACCTCCGCTCTTGTCTCTCCCACGCCCTGTCCCTCTCCCTCCTTCCCCATTCCCCCCCGTCTTCCCCTGTCCACCCCTTCCACCTCCCCTCCGCGTACCCCTCCCCACCTTCCCGTTCCCCCCCGTCTCCCCCCTGCGCGCTTTCCCCCCAGCACGGAGGTGGTGGGCGTGGAGAACCTGCCCCCCCCGGACGCGCCGGCAGTGTACGTGGCGAACCACCAGAGCTTCCTGGACATCTACACGCTCTTCCAGCTGCGCCGGCCGTTCAAGTTCATCAGCAAGACCAGCAACTTCCTCATCCCCATCGTCGGCTGGAGCATGTTCCTCACCGGTCATGTGCCCCTCAAACGCATGGACAAACGCAGCCAGATGGTGCGCGTTGGGGGAAGGGGGGGGAAGGGGGAAGGGGGAAATGGGAGGGGGGTTGTAAAGAGGGGGCAGAGGGGAGGGAGAGCGGGGGAGATGGGGGGATATGGGGTTCAGGGTTGGGTTTCCAGGACAGGGGAGAAGGTGGGGCGTGGAGTGTGACAGACGAGAGTGAGTATGCTGGATAGAGACAGATTCACGTAGGGCCGAATTGGGCATGCCTGTTACTCACTCTTTTGCTGTTCACCATGTTGCTCATCCCCCATGTCACCCCATTGCTACCCTATTCCCCCAGTCATACCTTCCTCATCCGTCCCTATCTCTAACCACAGCAGCCCCACCCATCCGCCTGTTACCAACCCCTGTCTCGTGCAGGAGTGTCTGAAGAAGTGTCTGGAGCTGCTGCAGCAGGGCACACCCGTGCTCTTCTTCCCAGAGGGCACCAGAACCAAGGATGGCAAGCTTTCTGATTTCAAGGCAAGACTCCCCCACCATGTCTCCCTAACCCTACCGTGCTTGGCATCACGATGCCCCACAATGGCTTCCTTCTCTGCACATGCTCGCACTCCTATTTCCATCCCCCATTGCTACTCAAATATTCCACCTTCCGCATCTCCTCAACTCATCCCCGCGTCGGACATCCCAGACTCACTTTCATCCAACAACCACCCCCTCCCCACTCACCCATCCTCTCCCGCTCCCTACCCATCTCTCCCCACTGCAGAAGGGTGCTTTTTCCATAGCAGCCAAGGCAGGGGTTCCCGTGGTTCCCATCAGCACCTCTCATCGGCACCGGTGCCCTCATGCCCAGCGGCCTAGAATCCACCCTCGCTGCCACCTCCACCCTCCCGCCCCTCCCTCCTCTCGCTGCACTCCCTGCTCCCGCTGACTCTTCCTCCTCCACCACCACTTCGCTTGCTACCACGTCGGGGTCTCCGGGGACCAAGGGAGGGGTGGTGCGGGTGGTGGTGCACCCGCCTATCACAGGCACTGATGCGGATAAGCTGTGTGAGCAGTCACGGGCAGTCATTGCCTCTACTCTGCGCCAGCATGGGCTGGGCGTGCACTGAGGCAGAAGGAGCGGAAAACGGAAAAGCATGAGGCTATTTGAAAAGCAGATGGGATGAGTGGGTGAGTGGAGTGAGTAGGTAGGGTACCCTAGATGGAACAACTTTTAGGTAGGTGTTGGTTAGACACTCCCTGACGGCTGTTGTGGTGTGCGTGCTGTTGCATGCAGCAGAGTTTGATCCACTCTGAACTGAAGCGCAATGTCCTGGTTGTCCTGACCTGACAGAATCATGTCTCAAACATGGTAGGAAGTCGGTAGTCCTGTTGACATGTTATTTCAGAGGGTACACATGTCCATGCTGTTGCACTAGCAAGTGAATGACTGATCCTGGAGGGTTATTGGCAGGGTGCATTGTCCATGCTTCTGTACTGAACCTCTCAGAATGTATCTAACATGGAGTCTTTTGGATTCCTGCTGTCAGATCAGAGTGCCATGGATCATGGATGGTTACCTCCAGTCAGAAGGAATAATGAAGTGGCCAGCAATTCCTGCTGTTAGTGCACTCTCTCCTGTCAGTGGTGGAGTTCCTGGTACAATATCAGAGTGTCCCTGCATCAATGGTTGGGTTCATGCTACCATATCAGAGTGCCCTTGGCTTGTCCTCTCATGTATCAGTACCAAGTGGGGTTTTGCTATCAGACCGTCTCTGGCCTTCCACAATTCCCGTGTACTCTCCCGTCTAAGCGGGTGGCTTTCGGGGGATATCCCTGCTGCGCAAGATCGTTTCCTGGTGTTAGTGCACTCCCATGTGTTAGCACCTCAGTTCCAGCTTTCAGAGTTTCCCTGCTGTCAGTGAGTTTCTGTCCTGCCAGCCCCTCTCTTGTTTTGCGCCTAGCATACCCCCTACCACACCCACAAATGGTTTTTATCGCTCCTAAACCATTTTCCACCCCATACCTCCCACGTTATTCACTTCAATATACCTGGTACCGTACCATACCACAATGTTGTACCCAAGCATCATGGCCTGGCTAGAGTTTAGCCTACACAAAACAACTTACTACCGTCGTTAGCCTAATCCAGTCAGCCCCTATCCATGTTTTATAAAGATACGCCACCCTTGGTCATACTTCTTCAAACTTCACTGCCATCGCTGCCTCTATACAAGCGAGGGGGCATGCAAGTGGGAGGGGAGGGACGAGCACAGGTGGGCGTGGCAGGGTGTGTGAACACGATGAGAGAGACATGCACACGATGATAGAGACATGCACACGATGATAGAGACATGCACACGATGATAGAGACATGCACACGATGATAGAGACATGAACACGATGATAGAGACATGCACACGATGATAGAGACATGCACACGATGATAGAGACGGCAGCTGGGCCACCACCCACACGTCCTTGCTGCACCTCCACTGCTGCACCACCCACTGCTGCTCCACCAATGGTGCGCCAGATTCAGAAGAAGGGCCTGATATATCAGTGAACTTCACATCACAACTTTCTGTTGACTCACAGAAAGGAGACGGCGTTGATTCACAGACAGGAGCGAGAGTTGACTCACAGACAGGAGAGGGCGTTGACTCACAGGCTTGCAGGACGGTGGCGTGAGGCTTCCTGGAGGCTCGCACGCCGCTGTGACTGCCTGCCGTGCGTCATCCCACCGCCCTCCCTCCCCGCACCACGCTGCCATAGCACCAGACGAGAGGGTGGAGAAAAGAAGAGCAAGCGAACCCAAGTAGTCAGTAGAAGAAAGGAAGTAGTGAAATGCATGCAAGGAGGCAGAGAAAACAAGAACGATGAGTAAAGGAAACGGAAGATGACGATGAAAAGCACGTGGCACTGTGACGCTGTGAAAGGGGAGGCGATGGTAGCACACAGCACTAGGGCACCGAGCTAGCAGGCAAATTCGGAACGGACGCTGCATGGTTATGAATGCATTCTACTCTAACCCCCTACGACTCTAGTATGAGCTCAAGCCGCCCCAGTGCCATGCGCTACCATCGCCAAACGCCGCTCATCTCTCACTCAACTTTTGATCGCTCCCATTCGAAAATGGGCTCATTTGTTTCGAGCACGCGGTGACGGAAGAATGCGGTACAAAAGTGGGCAATGATAAACACGAAGCAGAAGCGGTAAGGATGGCAAGGGCGAAGGGAGAGGGAACTTAGCCGTATGGGGGTGCTTGCAGGACAGTGGCGTGAGGCTTCCAGGAGGCTCGCACACCGCTGTGACTGCCTGCCGTGCGTCATCCCACCGCCCTCCCTCCCCACGGGTTGAGCGATGGAAGCCGCAGCAGTTGTTGCCAGCAGCAGAGTGACTCCCATCATCAACGGCACTCCCAGCAGCAGCCCTCCCAGCAGCAGCAGCGCCAGTGGAGCTCGTTTGACGAAGCCGTGAGGGAGTGGCGTGGTCAGCAGGGCATGCAGGACGCACTTCGTGTGTCATCCCACTGCCCTCCCTCCTCCTCCCCTGGGACAAGGAAACGGGCTTGGGAGAGAAGGAAGAGGGGAAGGAGATTAAGAATCCGGTCCAGTAGGAGCAAGCATTGGAATGAAGGCAGAAACAATTAAGAAAACGAGAATTTGTCAGCAAACAATGTTGAAGACAAGCAAGAAACCTGAACAACAAAAAAAGGCAATGGTAGCACAAGGCACTGGGGCTGCGAGCTAGCATGCGAGGGTGGACTGGGGTAAGAGAGAGACGCGAGCATGTGTATGAGTGCATTCTATTCTAGCCCCCTACAACTCTAGTCTAGTGTGAGCTCAAGCCGCCCCGGTGCCATGTGCTACCATCGCCATGCGGAACTGACGTTTTGATTTCGAGCACGCGCCGAGAAAGCAAAGCGACAAGAAAACAAACCAAAGACAGAAAGCGACAAAGAAGGCAATGGGGTGAGTAGAGGTTATGAGGGTACTTAGCAGCGGTACGACGGGTTGAGCGACGGAAGCAGCAGCAGTTGTTGCCAGCAGCAGAGTGACTCCCATCATCAACGGCACTCCCAGCAGCAGCCCTCCCAGCAGCAGCAGCGCCGTGAGGGAGTGGCGTGGTCAGCAGGGCATGCAGGACTCAGGCCGTGCGTCATCCCACTGCCCTCCCTCCGCTCTGACCCTGGGACAAGGAAATGGGCTGGAGAGAGAAGGCTGAGAAGAAGGGAATAAAGAATTTGGTCCAGTAGGAGCAAGCATTGAAAGGAAGGCAGAAACAGGTTATGAAAACGAGAATTCCATTAGCGAAAAATGCAGAAGAAAAGCAAGCAAGCTGAACAACACGAAAGGCAATGGTAGCAACAAGGCACTGGGGCAGCGAGCTAGCATGCGAGGGTGGACTGGGGTAAGAGAGAGACGCGAGCATGTGTATGAGTGCATTCTATTCTAGCCCCCTACAACTCTAGTCTAGTGTGAGCTCAAGCCGCCCCGGTGCCATGTGCTACCATCGCCATGCGGAACTGACGTTTTGATTTCGAGCACGCGCCGAGAAAGCAAAGCGACAAGAAAACGAACCAAAGACAGAAAGCGATAAGGAAGGCAATGGGGTGAGTAGAGGGGTTATGAGGGTACTTAGCAGCGGTACGACGGGTTGAGCGACGGAAGCAGCAGCAGTTGTTGCCAGCAGCAGAGTGACTCCCATCATCAACGGCACTCCCAGCAGCAGCCCTCCCAGCAGCAGCAGCGCCGTGAGGGAGTGGCGTGGTCAGCAGGGCATGCAGGACTCAGGCCGTGCGTCATCCCACTGCCCTCCCTCCGCTCTGACCCTGGGACAAGGAAATGGGTTGGAGAGACAAGGCAGAGAAGAAGGGAATAAAGAATCTGGCCCAGTAGGAGCAAGCATTGAAAGGAAGGCAGAAACAGTTATGAAAACGAGAATTCCTTTAGCGAAAAATGCAGAAGAAAAGCAAGCAAGCTGAACAACACGAAAGGCAATGGTAGCACAAGGCACTGGGGCAGCGAGCTAGCATGCGAGGGTGGACTGGGTTGAGAGAGAGACGCGAGCATGTGTATGAGTGCATTCTATTCTAGCCCCCTACAACTCTAGTCTAGTGTGAGCTCAAGCCGCCCCGGTGCCATGTGCTACCATCGCCATGCGGAACTGACGTTTTGATTTCGAGCACGCGCCGAGAAAGCAAAGCGACAAGAAAACGAACCAAAGACAGAAAGCGATAAGGAAGGCAAGGGGGTGAGTAGAGGGGTTATGAGGGGACTTAGCAGAGGTACGACGGGTTGAGCGGCGGAGCAGCAGCAGTTGTTGCCAGCAGCAGAGTGACTCCCATCATCAACGGCACTCCCAGCAGCAGCCCTCCCAGCAGCAGCAGCGCCGTGAGGGAGTGGCGTGGTCAGCAGGGCATGCAGGACTCAGGCCGTGCGTCATCCCACTGCCCTCCCTCCGCTCTGACCCTGGGACAAGGAAATGGGTTGGAGAGACAAGGCAGAGAGGAAGGGAATTAAGAATCTGGTCCAGTAGGAGCAAGCATTGAAAGGAAGGCAGAAACAATGATGAAAACGAGAATTCCTTTAGCGAAAAATGCAGAAGAAAAGCAAGCAAGCTGAATAACACGAAAGGCAATGGTAGCAACAAGGCACTGGGGCAGCGAGCTAGCATGCGAGGGTGGACTGGGGTAAGAGAGAGACGCGAGCATGTGTATGAGTGCATTCTATTCTAGCCCCCTACAACTCTAGTCTAGTGTGAGCTCAAGCCGCCCCGGTGCCATGTGCTACCATCGCCATGCGGAACTGACGTTTTGATTTCGAGCACGCGCCGAGAAAGCAAAGCGACAAGAAAACGAACCAAAGACAGAAAGCGATAAGGAAGGCAAGGGGGTGAGTAGAGGGGTTATGAGGGGACTTAGCAGAGGTACGACGGGTTGAGCGGCGGAGCAGCAGCAGTTGTTGCCAGCAGCAGAGTGACTCCCATCATCAACGGCACTGCCAGCAGCAGCCCTCCCAGCAGCAGCAGCGCCGTGAGGGAGTGGCGTGGTCAGCAGGGCATGCAGGACTCAGGCCGTGCGTCATCCCACTGCCCTCCCTCCGCTCTGACCCTGGGACAAGGAAAT